GGAGCGCTTTTCGTCGACGCTGCTGTTGGAGAAAGTGTAGATCTCGTCGTAAAGGATCGAATCCTATTTCTGTTTTCAGAGATATGTGGTTTTGATCGAGTTGTGCACTGTTTTGTGTTTTCGTATCGAACTTTTGAATGATTTTATTTGGACCAACTTTCACGCACAACTTTTGGTATGTTATAGATATGATATTGTAACAGATTTGAGTATTTTCTGCGACGATTTTATGGTCGGATTGATTTGCGTTTTTATCAATAGAAAAAACAAAATCTCAGGATTGATTTGATTGGATTCTATAGAATAATAAGTCTTGTATTGATGTCGTGGATATTCTACTGTAATTTGTGAGAAATTTAGAATTTGTGCTTTTTGCAAGATTTTTGTGTAAATTTGAAGACTGCCGTTCTTGCCCGATTTTTGTACGATTTCTGATTTTCCGGAATTGATAGATTGAAATTGATATGCGTATGATATTGATATGATTTGTTCTAGATTTTTAATATTGCTTATTGCATGATTATGCATTGCATATTGATTGAATGATTGTTATGAAAGACAAGTGGGAACTGGTTGAACGTTGGTTGGAGATAGATAGACCTGTACAGGATGGTGGGCGCGGGCTTTCCTTTAATATGATCATGGATTTGTACAACAGCATATTGATGGGAGTCATAAGGAGTTTTATATGCGACGGGCGCGACGGGCAAAAGAGTGAGACTCTTTTGATTGAAACCAAGTGCGGATATTACAACAGCAATATGGATTCTAAACAGCACTATGGATTTCTACACAGCACTATTGTAATCAATAGCTAGTGTTTGTGTTGTCGATAAGACATTGTTATGAAATTGCATGTATACGATTGCATGTATGGATTCTGATCTGCATTGATGTTTTGATTGATGATTATTGATATTGATGGATTTATTGAATTGAAGGATTTATTGTTTATGATATCTTTTATTGATTGATCGGATTTATGGATTTACATGCATCGTACGGATTTATTGATTTATTGATTGATCATTGAGCATGAGGTTATATTGATTTATGGATATTGATATGGATAGAGGAGTACCGTGCTTTGATTTCAGTTGTAGGCTTTGGTGACCTGCTGGGCTTTGTAAGCTCATTATATGTGGTTAAAATTTTCAGGTCCGAGCAAGGCAACTGGAATGGAGTTCGATCAGAATGTCAGACGAATCCTTTCACTATTGATTTCTGGGGCATCACATTGGAGAAGGTGAGTTTGAGATGGATGGGCTTGAGAAGGTCAACGTTGGTCTATAGCGAACATTGCTTCCGTCGTTTATGCCCTTCGAAATGGCGGAAAGCAGCCAGCCGCAGCGAACCGCGGGAGGTAGTGAAAGGTCGCGAGAAGCATCGACGGGCCGCAGAAAATTTTCTAACTCAGTTCTGCTGCAATGCCCCAAATGAGCATTTAACAATTTTTTATAAAGCAAAGCAGTCGTGAAGCCGTCCCAACGCACCCTGAATCGTATAGTTGATCAACTAATAAATAATTATATTGTTCTTAAAAAGAATAAGGATTTAAAACATATAGCAAAAGGCTATTGATATAAATAGATATATTGAATCCTAGATGAAAGGAATAGCTGAGAAAGTCTCTCTATCACTTAAAAATCCTAGAGAAGTTTCTAGCTAGAGAAAAAGTAAGTTCCATAAAATCCTCATGTATGTACAATTGATTTTGAGAGCCTTATTTGATTGTTCTTGAGGGGAGATAATGGATCTCAAAAGTAACTTTTTAAGAGCTTCATTACCTAGCGGGTTGTGCTAGAAGTAGCTCGCTTCTAGCTTTTGAGTACAGATGGTATAGGGGCTGCTCCATGCTAGTGAAGGATAGAAGCTTCTCCACCTTTCTGAAGGGAGGGGATAGTTGAACAAATCCTAAGAGGGTCAGGGAATAGGCATAGGCTCATTGTAACAGAATCATGATAACTTGATTTGCATTCTCTTTTCTTTTCTACACTTCTATTTTTCAATCTTTTACTTATTGCAATCTCCTGTTAGAATAATTTATTATGCTTTGAATGATTGATTGCATATGATGAATGATTTGAGGAAATCTCTTAAAATGAATAGGTAATAACATACTAGCAAAAATTATATTATTTGGTAGCACTTGAATCTATAATTAATTAATATGAATGTGCCACTTTATTTAAGAAAAGAAATGTATTCCCTCTACAAATTGATAAATAAGTATTTTTTTTTGTTTTCAAATTAATTTTAAAGAAGACTAATTCACCCCCTCCCACCCACCTTGGTTGTGCCATAAAATTCAAGATCAATAGCTTAGTAAAAAGAGTGAGTACATAATATGTAATTTTGGTGCATGAAATATTCATAATTATCAATCAATATTAATAAATATTCAATAAGACAAAAATGCAAATAGTTAAGTATATTGAATTTATTACACAAAAAGATGGGGAAACAATACAAGAGGATCGACTATAGCACAAGTAGGCATTGAAATATAAATAAGTTAAATATGAGTGATTAGCCTACATAACTTAGTGTTTAGTGCCATGTAATCTTTCAAGTAGTACAAAGAAAATTTCACCCCATAATGCCAAGGTGTCTATTCCAAAGGGCAACTGAATTTGTAATAGATATCCTAAAATTCATACAGGACAGATAATATCGTGATTCCTTAGGTTGTGCTAATAGATATCCATATCCTGAAGAAATATTGGTATAAAGATAACAACTAAAAATTTCGCTGGAAAAAAAATTAAATTGAAGGAAACATTTTAATGGGAATTTTAAGATTTTAATAATCTTTTAAACATTGACACCACATTTCTCCTGTATCTGTAGCTGCCATGGAAACATAAGTTCACTTTTAACAATATTGTAAATATTTGTAATAAAAAAAACTCCATCTAGCTAATTTATACTTCAGTTAAATTAAAATTATGGTACCTGAATGTCATACTTTACAAATGTTGAAAGGTAACAAAATGAGAATCAGAAAATATTTCATTAGCTATAAATGATGTGATGATCAAGATTTTAAGCATGTAAATTAAATTGTTTTCCTCAGTACAGGTTCATAATTAAAATTAAGCAAAATAATGAACAAAACACAATCAATTGTTTGCACAGTATAAAAGAAGTTTTCACTCTAAATTCCTACTTAAAAAGTGGAAACTATTATAACAGCAAATGCAGTTGTAACTTGAAAGCTGCAGCGTGAAAGAGTAGATAATAACTATGAACAAATACACGAACATAACAAAAAGTTGTGAATAAATAATAAAAAAGAGAACACAACACTGTCAGTAGTGAATATAATTGAAGCAAAATTCAAAATAATGTGAATTTGGCATGCTACAGAAACAAGTACTCAGGCTGTAAGATAGCCAAAAATGAACCTACCTGATTCCCCTTACGATCCAAACCCACGAGAAAATTATCTGGCTTTATATCGCGGTGAAGAAAGCCCCTTGAATGCATGTACTCGATTCGATTAATCTGAAAGGTGGTTATTATATCTCAATGCTATAGGAAATTGATTGAGAAGGCTAGAAAAAGTCATCACAAGCATCGTATCACCTGAGGCATCATCCAATATGAAGAAAAAAAAAGTGAAACAAAGTACTTACCAATTGATCAGCAAGCATAAGTACAGTCTTCATTGAGAACTTTCGATCGCAATAGTTAAAAAGATCTTCTAGACTTGGACCAAGAAGATCGATAACCATGACATTGTAGTCCCCCTCAGCACCGAACCATTTTAGGTTGGGAATTCCAGCTTTTTTAAAATAACAAGAAAACAATAGCATAAAAGCCAATCAGAAAACAGTATGCCTGGATAAAATTAAAACAATAAAATACAATGAGGAGCTCTTAGTTTCCTTAGACAAGGTTTTGGTTGGAAATTCAAGCTTTAATGGGATAATACAAAACGAAACAACATTATAATTTGAAAGTTACACAATCACTGAAATCTAGAGATAAATGGCTTACTTCCTCCTTGGAGAAGCATATATAGTTTTGACTCATATTGTAGCTGAGGATGCTTCGACTTCACAGATTCCTGTGGTGAATGATATTTAAGTAAAAAAACTTGAAAGAAATAATTTTAGGCCTTCATAAAGAATATGAAAGTATAAATGAAGGCTCCAAAGTAATGAATTCTCGGGCTAAAGCTGACATATAGAGGCACCAAAATGAAGCCACCAACATAACCACAACAAGGCTTGCCTTATCCAAACTAAATTGTAGAAATTAAGCACAGATATTAATCTAGCTTCTTCAAAATTAAATAATGTAACCTGATAATATGTACACAATCTCTTCAAAAATAAGTGAAAAGCAGGAAAGGGATCGGTTGCCAAGTTAGCGAGTGATAGTAGATGTGCTTTTGCATCAGTTCTCAATGTAAATAAAAACACGCAGGAGCATATATCGAAACACTTTTAGATTGATAGAAAATCGGTCAATATTTAAGAATTCGATATCTATGTTATCTGCCACACTAAATAGGAGGAGCATGGAGATAAGCGTAGTAAATTGAAAAAAGTAGAACTTGAAAAATACATGCTCAATGAAAAACCCAAACCACTTTCGTAGATATGAAATGATTCCGAGCACGTCATAATCATACTCATATGGAAAAAATTCCATTATTTTGGTCAAACTTTAAATCTACATTAATTATAGTTGAAATTAAAAAATAGATAATTTACTACAAAAAAGGCATTTTTGCCATGTTATTTTGTCAAGAAGACAGTCAATTGCACCAGACATCTGGTACAACACCAGAACGAAAGAAAAAAGTCATCTTTCTCCGTAAATCAATATCACATTTGCAAATTTTAAAGACAGCATAAAAAGCCAAGCATCCACTGCCAACATAACATTTGATAACAACTAATAACTTTTTAAAAGTTTCTACCTCGCGGTGAAAGACAGCCAAGAAAAATCTGGTCTAAAATAAAACCCCTACAAAATACTAACAAATAAAGGGGCAAAAATGTACCAACTTGATTGCAACCTCTTCCCCTGTCTGTATGTTGACACCTGAACAATATAAGCCGAACAAAAAAAAAAAAAAAGCAAAACCCATCAAAGAGAGAAAAAATATTCAAAATTCACAAAAGTAACAGTATCCTAAGAGATAAAATTAAAACAAACCACGGTATATCTCGCCAAAAGATCCACTGCCAATCTTTCTTCCCAGCGTGAACTTTTCGCCAATAATGTGATCCATCATGAACAAATCCGTTCAAGAAAACCTCCAAACTCAACTTATTATAAACGATAAATCAATGAAATAACGGTCTAAATTGAGCCTCCCTGAATCATCAAAAAGCTCAAATCATTGAAAAAAAAAACACCACCCGTCCACAATCTCCTCAGATCTCGATAGGGATCTCCTCTTTCAATCCTAGAGCTCTGGCCTAAATCTGTAGAAATAAGAACAAGGCCCGGCGTGCTCGCAACCCTAGAGAGAGACATACAAACATCACGGACAAATCAACTAAGGACACCTTCTTCGAGGCGGCAACCAATACGAACCCAATCTCCAGAACACAAAGATAGAGAGAACAAACTTAAATTGTGAAAGGATACCAGGAACGAAAGAGAAATTACGAATCGAAGAAAATAAAAAAATCATTCCATCAAAATTCTCTGAGAATGTGAGAGAGAGCGATGGAAATAGCGAAAGCCCGGCGGAAGTTTCCCTTCTCAATTTTAGTATTTTGCAACGCAGTTGGCGTCTTCTTGATTAGAGACCGGATTTTTCACCCAAAGTTGCACCCACGTATATGCTGCTGAAGCAGCGGTGCTGACTCATTAGATTTAACAATAATTAGCGATGGTAACCCTAATCATTTTGAAGTCAGATAATAATAAATATAGAAAGGGCAAAACGAGGGGTGAACCGTTAGCGTCGCGGTGAAGCTGTCGGTCGACACGTTGTGGGCCACCGCCCTCGTCGTCGAGGCGATACCGCTCACAGCGGATTGGGAATCCTATGCAGTAGTGATGTATAGAGGAGATTGGACGTATATGGTAGTTGTTTAAGTTTTTTTCCATCTTTACGATTAGTGTTTTTCTTTCTTTTCTTCTTTGAAATTTTAAATTATATTTTGCAAATAGCATTGGCTTAAATTTATCATTGTTGAAATAAAATTAGTTGAAAATTTTTTTTTATTCTAAACTGAGTAAGAAAATTAAATAAATATTTTCTTTAATAAAGTTTTAGTTACAAACTACTAAGCCTTAGAAAATCTTTCATTAAAAATAAAGTGATCATTCTAAATTTTTCAAAACTAGTTTCAAAAATTTTAAATAAAGTAATTGATTGTTAGTGTAATCTAATTAGAATTTGATCAAAATATTTTTTAATTTCTTGATTTTTTTGTTGAATTGAATGTAATATATGAATGATTAATCAACTAATATCACTATTAGATTTGATTAGAGAAAAATTATTCACAATTATATTATTTCTCTTCCTATAGCTTGTAGGGTCAAAATAAGTTGGTCATTTGGCTTTTCGAATCAATTCTAATATGATGATGAACTTAGAGGCTTCCTGAAGAAGATCCTCTATAAAAACAATATTTTTTTGCTAGTTGGATGTTCAAATTCCTAAGCTATAACTCCATAATAAAGAAATTTTCGGTTCATGTGCCGTTGTTACCGGCGTATATAAATCCGCCGGAAGCTTTGACGGTAATCGAAGGTTTTCCTGTAGTGCCAGATTATTATCTTCATCAATGATTTGATGTGAAACCATGTTGAACCTATTTATGTAGCCCCATAGGGATTCTCCTTCTTTTTTGCTTAGTTAGAACAAGGATTGAGAAGTCTAGAGAGGCTTCTTAAGAGTAGTGAATAAAGATAACATGCACAAGCAATACAATTGAGTTAGCACTAAAGTTCGCTTATGGCGATAGAAACTGTTTGAACTTAACTAAAATTTTAGTAAATCAATCATAATTGGGGCCGATAACATTATGATATGAAAAAAAAAAATCTATAAATATCATCTCATATGAAATAAGAGGGGGCTCTTTCAAATAAATTTCTCCAGACAAAGGATGACCTAGCCACAAGTGCATTCATTGCTTCCAACTAACTATTACTTCCACTTAGAGGCCAATCCACATCTCTATTTTTGTTTTAAAGTGCTATAACTCTTATCTCTTGTCAATTCTTATTAGTGTACTTCTCATTATTATAACTTCTCTCAAAGTAGTGAGAAAATTCGTTTTGATATCCATATATATTAAAACTTCTCAATATGTCATAATAGACTAAGTCATATAAATGAAGTAGGTTAAAGCTCATGCAAGCTCTTTAATTGGATTACTTATTATGTGCGGATGTTGAACGTCGTCCGGAGACCAACTAGAATGCGCCACATCACCCCTTTGCTCGGTAGTGCGACTCAGCACTGCTCGGTACCATTGACATGGCACGTTCTTGTTGGTCTCCGAATAGAGTTCTTTGTCTGGCCTCCGCACAGAATAATTTATCATTTAATTGTCTTCTCTCTCTATATTTCTTCATGGAATACCCTTTAAAAATAGTGATTTTATAATTATTGTACTTAATGAATATATGATGTGTACACTCTTCATAGATATAGTTGTGATAATGCTATCTGAGCTTGAAAAAAATCCTACATTGGCAACTTATACCCTATGTACAAATTATACATTAATTTAAATCTCTTGAATTGATTTATATAAAATCATACTTTGTCATATAAAACAAGCTTTTATTGAAAATATTTTTAGAATATTTGTTATAGTATTATTCAGGATATGATATAAAAATTTATGTACTTGAGTGTTCTGACTGTAAATTAATGATGATCGTAACATTGACGCTACTAGTGGTCATTAGACTTCATTGGGTGAATGAAAATCTTACTCTTATTTAGGATATTATGACAAAATGATCGTGTAAAAGATTTTACGACAAATGGCTAATGTCATTGTTAAGTACATAAATATGCAATATATGATTAAATGGGAAGGATTATGAATGCCACCATATAGTAAATAATTGTCGAATAGTTAAATTTATTATTATTATAATATAATGAAATGTTATTTATGATACTTTTGTATTGACCACCATGCCAATTTCATTAATTGTATGCATGTCCTATTCGTTGTTGTCATTAAACATGAAGTATCTATTGACTTTGACTCATAAAAAAACTTATTTATTATTATTTTCCCTACTAATTTGATAGATGGAATAGCCATCACAGGAATAGATACTTCAATAATAGTTATTTCATTGACTTTGTACTTATTTCTTAATAATAGTTATTTATTTTGGCTTATGTTGAGTTTTGAATTAGTTTTATATTTATAGGACTTTTTTTTTTTTGTTTAATTTTCTTGATACATATTTTTAAGAAATGGTCATTGATCCTACCTTTTAATGTTCGTCTGAGGAATTAAATTGAAATTGTTCATCAATTGGTGTTGTTGTGTGCTGCTTTTTAAGACTATAGCATGATAAGTTGACTGGATGATCAAACAATATTGCGTGGTATTGGGCTCCAATGATTGTTTGGTGAAGGTGGATTTCAAGCGATGGTAGTGATGGTCTATGAACGAGCAATGATTGTAGGTGATCTATAGACAAACGAGAAACATTGAAACGCCAACATCATGATTTTAGGGTTTAAAATGCTGAAAAAAGGTAGATCTATGATGTACTTTTAATTTTGGGATAGATAGGGTGGTATTTGAAAAATTATTTAAAAATTTTGTTACAATATTCCTTATTCTTATCAACTGATGCATCATCCTACTTAATTTGATCAATCCATGATTATTGTGAGTTAGTATATCCGTGGCAGTAGAGTAATGATTTTTTTTGTCCTAATGTTGCATGTATATCCAGCACACAAATAGATAGTTGAAGAGAGCGGAAAACACCAGAAATTTTTTTACGTGAAAAACCCAAGAAGGGAAAACCCATGAGGCCATGCCCAGGTGAAAATATTCCATTATATTTGAGTGAGCTACAGTGGTTGACCGTTGACCCGTCCCTTGATTTAGAGGTGGTTAAATTACAATTATAGGTACTTGGGAATTTGTTATGACCTTGGATGACAGAGATCAGAAGTCTAATGGCAGCGACTGGGAGAAAGTCTAGCAACGATTTGTAGTCAGGCGGAGGTCTGGTGACGATCGGTGGATGGGTGGTGGTCCGACGATGGTCAAACAGAAGTTTGACGGAGATCGACAGACAAGCGGTGCTCAAGCAGCGGTCGGAGGCCGAGCGGTGGTCGGGCAGCTGGGCGGTGGTCCAACGGTGGTCAGCAGAAGCTCGCCTATTGTGGTGTTTTGGTAGAGATCTAGGATCCTTGAATCCCAGAGCTCTCTCCAATCTCTGACCAGAGGTCCCCCTCATGTAGAGAGTATGGGTCAATTTATAGATTTTTGTGAGTGACACACTCTTTAAATATAAAGAAGATTCAAATTAGGTTCAGAGTGCTCCATCAGATGATCCATATTGATTCCCTCAATCATGGAATATTTTTCAAGCATTTATGTGCCTTAATGATGTTATAATTAAGCAATATTGGGCTCGTTGGATTCGTCTCGTCGAGCCGCTCTATTCAATTATAAGCATGTCATATTTAGAGATCACTTAGTCATCCAATTAATGTTTTGAACATTCCAAATATGCTTCGACCCCTAAATTTGGACCATTTAGGCTCGGATTTGACCGATTTTGGTGTCGTTTGATTCATCTCATCGAGATATTTAACTTGACTATAAGTTTGCTTAAATTAGAGCGTGGATGGCCCCAAATCTAATTTTAGATATTTTCAACTTAGACATGCCTTGACATTCGTATCCGATCAAGACAATTTTCAATGACGTATCAATGATCATGCAAATGGCTAGCAACAATAGTTTAACATGTTGCAATAATAAATACTTGTTAGGACCCTCTTCAATCACAGAAAAAAGTATAACAATTTGAAGTCATTGGTGACACAAGTTCAATGAAATTAAAAAATCATATTTTAATGGCTGAATCATCTAAAATAATTATATAAAAAAAATTTATAGATATAAATTAGAGTCAATGGCCACATTTTAATATGAAAGATTCATCTCATTGAGAGCAATCTATGAGAACCACAACAATTTAAACATGTAGAAGTTAAATGTAGTACAATCAAAGAACAACAATAAAGTTCTATTAGTTTTATGTTAACAGATCCTTCCCCTATGAGCACTCCTACAATACAAATAGTTTACAAAGCTCAATACATCGAGGTTACTTTTTTAACATAAATACCATGACCTCCTCAGCCTTCTCTCATCTAATTAGTTTCCCTTTCAACTCCCATTTGATCTTTATGAGATAGAGGGGAATCAACTATATGCACAGTCCCTTTTAGATCAATCTTTGCCAAACAAACCAAGAGGAAGCAAAAGCGAGTCTAACTAAGGTTTCGTTTAAGATGATTTTTTTACTGCTTCTTAAAGCAGCTTTCTAGCACAAAAATTTAAAATTTTGTACTAGAAAGATTCTTTAAGCAACAGTAAGAAAGCTGTCTCTTCATTTAAGACGTCTTTCTTATTACTTCTCAAAGCAATATTTTAATATAAAAATTTATATTTTTTTCCTATAAAATTGATTTAAGAATCAGTCAAAAAAACTGTTCTAAGGCTTTGTTTGGAAAATATTTCTTACTAATTTGTATAACAATTTTCTAATAAAAATTTTCTTAAAATCAATAAAAAAACAATAGCCAAAATATATCCTAAAAGAAGCTTAAGTCAACCATTTAGGCCCCAAACCAGCTTGAGAATTTTGGTTGCCACATCAATTTTAATTCACAAAATATTTTAAATCACTTTGAATCCCCAAATGTTCACCATCAACTTATAATAAGGCTTTTTTTTGGATAACTTTCTTACTGTTTCTTAAAGCAATTTTTTAATATCAAAATTGAAATTTATATAACAAAATTATTTTAAAAAATAATAAAAAAATCATCCCAAACGAAATCTAAATCAGCAAATAAGCCATTTAAAAAAAAAAGCATAATTCACAGAACCCTTTTGATATCAAATACATGTAATCTGCTTCAATTTACAAACACCAACGTAATAATAAGTTCCTCTCATGCTACTCAAAACACCAAAAACAAATGAATAATAATATAATAGTATTCCTCCTCTTCCGCAGCTTCAATAATGTACGCCATTGTTTCAAATAACGAAAAAACAAAAAATAGTAATGTATCCGTTGCTCATCTTAATGCAGATGTTGCTTACGCTGTGGACCGAATCTGAATGCAGTAATCAAGTAGGAAGCTTCAGACACAACAGAGATAGTTGCAGCAGGAGATTTTTCAATGAGCTTAGTTCAAGAAAAGTTCTTAATGATCAATATTGTAGTTGGAATTGATCGATACTGATCAGATATTGACCTTTATTTAAACACAATAGTGATCATTAAGGAAAGAAATTTTCTTAAGCTAAACTATCAGAAGAATCTCTCCAAGAACACAAGCTTTCCTAACACTTTCTCTAGATAATCGCTGGCTCCTTCACCTATATCCACCTCCATATGTTTGATGAGAACCATACCCACCCATGCCCATCATGGAATTGTAGCCAGATCCAGGAAAGCCTGGGGAAGGGGATTGCATTTCAGGCTGAGGCCTCATGGAACCTCCCATGCCCATGCCCATGCCCATGCCCATGTTCATGCCCATTCCTCCACCCATGCCCATGGGTTGATTCATGGCTCCACCATAACCACCAATGCCCATCCCCATGGCCCCTGCGCCAGCCCCGGCACGGCCGATTCCAGATCCTGAGCCCATGGCTTTGCCCATGGTAACAGTGGAAGTGAGAGGATTTGCAGCGCCCTTGTCCTTCTCTTTCCTTCTTTCCAACCTATTAATGGAATCAAAGTCGACTCCTATATCGGCTAATGGATTGATTTTAGCTGCAGTCACAGAGATGAAAGGCTAGGTTGGTAAGTCAACAAGTTCAAATTAAACAGGATCTGAGATGAAGCGCAGTATAGAAAATTTATTACTTACATCCAGAAATGTTGAGGTTGACAAGGCCTCTGTTCAATGTATCTGCCCAAACTGATGATTTGGTCTCAAATGTATCATTTGATTGCTTCGAACTTGAAGGGCCAGAAATGGCGGTATTGGCTCGTTGATTTAGAGGAGATGATAACCCAGGCTGATTGAGATTCCGAGAAGCCGCTGGCATATTCAGTTGAACCATGGGTTGCACTGACTGCATAGGTAAAGGAGCACCCTGTGGAATTGATGGACCCAGCTGCTGTGGAAGGAAGCCCTTGTCATCAATCTGTACATTTGTCGAACCAAATGGTTGAGCTGCAGGTGAAGAAATAGAAGCAAATCCTGGCGCCAAGAAGGAAGAGTGACCATAGACTGAATTGGTCGTCTGTAGATATGACGGCCCACGATTTGTGCCCATACCATCTATGTTTGGTTGAGCTAGCGGCGACTCTGAAGTAACGAGTGTTGGGTTTGCAGAATACATGGGATCATTTTCAATAGAAGGCATATAGGTTAGACCACTTAATGAATCCCCAAAATCGAAGTCCAATGAAGTTTCCGCCATTGGGGCCGCAGGCAGGACAGGCTCAGCAATCGACATTGAGCTAGCAGATGGTGGGAAGGAAGAAGCAGCAGAAGCCACAGGCGCGGAGGACTGCATCGGATTTGGAAAATTCTCTTGTGGAATAGCCTTAAAAGGACCATCTCCAAATGGATCTTCTGTAGGCTGTAAAGTATTCATGAAAAGCTCAAACAAATGCTCAGCACAAATTATAATGGAAATTCTAGGATGAGTAGTGAGCACAAATCTTCTAGTAAAGCATAAAGAAGAATTATGATAGCAATTATTCCTCTACAATTGAAAAAAAAATTATTGAAAAAGCTCATCAAATTGTATGGAAGCAACTCCTTGAATTATTTCAGAAAAGCTATCCAGTAGAATGAATGATTTCTGAAAAAAGTAATAGCAGGCGAGGCATTCTCCTTTCAGTCACCAAGGATCAAACTAACTAATTGTGAAAAGTAAATGATCATATTTAGACATTTCATAATATGCAGGACCAAAGTGTGGATTTGAAAAAACATTTAACCAGTGCAAAAGACTAACAAAAAAAAGCCGCAGAAAAAAAAAAAAAACTGGCTTACTGCAGGAGATGCTGATGACAATGCCACAAAATTCATCCCAAAGCCTGAATTTGTTGTTGCCACATCTGATTCATTGGCTGTTGTGGTTGGAGAAGTCAGCACCAAGGCCAAAGAATTCACTGGATCCAATGAGGAAGAGTTCCCAAAGAGATCTACAACTGAACCACTAGCAGCTGGTGAAGCAGAACTGGCAGCTAGTGGAGCAAAATTTACAGCTGTTGAAGCAAGGAATCGAAATTAAATTGCATGTAATGAAAAATTTCATTGTATGTTCAGTTTCAGTATTAATACAACTGAAATAAAACAACAGAAATACCTTCCACTGATGAATTTAATTCAAGCAGTAAAAAACTTTCTTTATTCATACAAGAACGTTTAAATATGTCTAGCAAAATGACTGCCAACAGAACAGAACGTAAAATTTTCTTTAAACATTGGGCAACAAATTCTTGATAAAATAAGGACCTGCTATTGAACCCTTAGAGGAAATATGCTAGCACATCCTTTTCGTTGGAGTTCAAAATCTTACTCAGATAATTTCCTCACAAATTAATCATTATCGCAAGAATTCAAACAAACTGTGAGATCACCAAAAGACAATGACAAAATACAAGTAGCAGCTTTAGATTTCTTTCGTGAGTCATGTCATAATTTGTTTCCTTGCACGCATTTTTCATTATTTTATTTTAATTATCATGGATCAAAATCTCAATATTCAGGACTAGTTTGTAAATGTAGGCTGTAAAGTATTCATTTCACCCTTTATCCAAAACCTAATCTCTTACCCTTTGGGTCTGCAACTCGTTGGTATTGATGGAAAGTAAGTTCCTTGCAAACTTTCATTAAGGATGCAAATATCCTGATTGGCTAGGAGCACGTTTCCACTTACTCAGACTATGATGTTATTAAATTTCATATATTAAGGACTAACTATGCACCTAGGAAAAGATCTCAGCACCAATCGTCTTTTTTGCAAGCACCAACCGGCTAGGTAATTAAAGTATAAAACCTCATACCTCTATTAAATGGAGATGGAAAAATTGAAATCTGCTTTCCACAAAAGTTGAAAAATAAAAGAAAGGCATTAAGTATATTGATAGCAACCAAAATCATATCAAATATATAATTGAAATCCAATTCATAATCTCACTTAGGCTAGCGCTTTGTTTTTACATACAAAGCTAAAACTCTATGGATTAAACTTACAGGAATAGTCAAGCACAAATCAAAAACATGCAAGACAAGATGGATGATGCAAATTCATGGATGATCACGTGATCTATAAGATTTCTTTCTTACCTGGGGTGAAACCACGGGGATCAAATTCATCAAATGAAGTATCATCCATGCTCATAGGCGATGAATGCACTCCTTTAACAGCAGGTTGCTCTCCATGGTGATTATTCTGAGGAGATGATGCTTTTGGTGCAGCTGGTGAAAAAGATTTAGGAACAGCTGCTGTTCCTACCCCTCCATCCCTATAGCAAAGGAATGTGTCAAGTATCTTGTCTCCATCAAGAAGAGAAATTCAAATCATACAGATGCATACCTCTCATCCCGCACAATATTATTTTCATTTCTTACTGCTGATTCATAGCTGGGTGGTGCACCCGCATTTTGTTCAGAGAGCTTTGGCTCGAGGTTCCTGTTGCCGCAAGCAAGACAAAGGTTTGTACATTATGGATTGTTAGAAAAAAAAACAGCTTGATGTTCTGAAAGTACCTTTCATTGGGAGAAGCATCATTGGCCCTATCACCACCATTTCTGGATCCAAATGAAAATACAAAAAGATCTCCAAATCAAACTAATAGTTAAAATTCTTTCAAGAAGGCATTTAAATAGAAAGCGAGCATGTTAAACATCCAATAAGATCGAAAAAAATAAAAATAACAAAGTTTAGTGGCACTCATAAATTTTCACGTGTAGGGATTCAATTTGAAGATGAGAATATGAGTCAAGGGAAAGTTAGGCATGTACCGATAGGAGTAACTATCATCTTCCTCATATGAATGGTCTTTGTCTTTATCAAAACTCTTGCTTCTAGGACCAAATTGATAATCATCATTACCCCGACCACCTCTGTTATCATCATTTTTGTAACTGCCTCGTCCAGAGTGTTCATCAGAATCTCTACCAAACCCATCACCATCCCTATTGAAGTCTCCACCTCTAGAATATCGATCATCATCTCTGTAACCCCTCCCATATCCATTCCGATCATCTTCTCTATCTCCATAACGGCCTTCATAACGATCATCATCATAACGGTCACCAAAACCACTAGCACTTGAATAAGAACCAGGCTTATATGATCCACTTGAAGAATAAGTGGCACGATACCTATAGAGCACAACAATGTTTAAGAGTACATAAATCTATCTCAACTAAAAATCCTTTAATGATGTGAACCTACTTGTCTTTGTTTGAGAGTGCTTTCTGTCTAACTTCCTGTATTTTTTCTTTATCATTAACAAGGGAAACAAGTGCCTGAGATTTTCTTCGGACATTATTCCCCTGATCCTTTCCGCTAGAATCAAGGTATTGGAAGTCTGAAAGAGTCTGAATTATCATGTGAAGATTCACTAATTAGATTAACTTCAACTTAAAAAAAAAAAAAAATCAAAGCTATAAAACAATTAATAACTTCAACTTAAAAATAAATAAAGCAAAGCTATAAAACAAAAACCAACGATAACAAAATAACATTATTACTGATATTTGGTATGCATGTTCTCTGATCTCATCAATAACTCGTTCAGATCCATGCCCGACCAGGTATTCCAAAATAGTCAAAGACTGCAGACCAATGGACAGAAAATTTAAAACAAAAAAATGCGAAGCAGATTGAACTCTAAATATCAGCAGAGAGACTGCAGATGACTTAATAAAAAAAATAAAACCAGAATGCTAAAACCTTATATACGTGGCGCCAATTTTTGCCAGTGTCATTGAGCCTTTTCCAGATTACATGCATTATTATTTGATGCTCAGGACTGCAGAAGAAACAAAAAACATAAAACAAAAGCGAAACTGGAGAACTAGAAAGAAAATAAAAGAAAGTATTCAAACAGCAGGCTTACTAATTGCGGGTAGCCTGTGCAATATCAGCCAGAAGTGACCCATGTGGACCCCAAGGTTCATTGCTTGTTGCATCAAGGATCTGGGTGAAAAATAAAAAATTTTAAATCAATAGTTCAGTAGCATACCCCATTATCTAAACTTGTTCACAAGTTTAGCCCATTATAATTAAATTTTAAAAAAGTAGAAAACTAAATTTTTATAGTGCAAAGGGGGGGGAGAGAGAGAGAGAGAGAGAGCAGAGAGCAGAGAGCAGAGAGCAGAGAGCAGAGAGCAGAGAGCCGAGACAGGAGAAGGATGAGAAAAATTGAGTAGCCAGCAAATATAGAAACAGAGGAAACTCGAGATCTTAAAATTTGTTCAATATTCATTCAGTTCTCAATTCCTTCTAAATGCAAGACTATAACTTCTATAAACTTGGGTCGTACAATATTTTTCTAATAATGCATTAATGATCAAAGAATCATGAGCCTTTATTACGCACATGAGTATATTTATACCTATGTGTGTGTGTCTATATATGAAATATTTAAAATAAGTTTTATATGTTGAAACTAAATAAACACAAGCATACAAACTAATATGGATGAAAAAACTAACGACCGTATTTATCCTGCATCATTTCACCCATACTTACAGAAACTCTTTTACGAGTAGTAAGAAGGTAACCATGGTGGTGATGAAGACAACTGGTTTGTGCACAACTTAAAACATGCCCGAAAGTATGCAGGCATTGCAATCTGATGGTCATGGAGGTGATCGATAACCATTATGACAAACCAGCAGGTTTATCAATGACAAAACAATTTATGAAGAATTAAAAAAAAAATGAAGAATTTGGCGGCTTCAAAGCTTGACATTGAAACGCATCATGACTTAGATGAGTTACAATCTCATAACAGTTTGATTGTGATGGATAGTAGTATGGAAAAAACCTTTGCCAGTGAAAATATCTGTACGAATATAGCGAACTAAGTAACATCTATAATAGTTTCAATCGATGGTGGGGAATATATATAACTTCCTACACTACCCCACTGTTTATGACACAATCTAATGATGGAAGATGGATAGACAAGCTCAGTTGGTGATGGAGCAAACAACAATAATTGAGAAAAATCTTTTATATTCATATGTCGAGGTAATGGAGCAATAATAATAATTGAAGGCTTTTCGAACTTAGGTGCTTTTTCGGTGAGATTGTTTTGGCTCAAGTTCATGCAGCGCACAATCTTGCTCAAGTTCTACTAAAACATCATGCTCAAGCTCAACCTCAATCTCAAGTTCAAAGGAGGCTCAACTACCATTATTTGTTTATAATCATTATAAAATTCATTCACAAAATTCAGATCATTGCAATAATAATCTCCATATATTAACTCGGATCAGGGATCATTTTGATCTTGTGTCCAAACTTTTGAAATTGATATTGATTTATAAACCATCGGCATTCAAATATTTGTTTAAATTATTGATGATAGAATGATACCATTTTTTCTAAAATTTTCTAGCAATACTTTGCCCAATCAACTCTATCCAAATATGAAGTATATTCAAATAATATTTTTTCCATGGAGATGTCAATGATCTGGATGAAGCATGACAATAAAATAATAGCGATGACTCCATAGTGAATATTGGCAAATTTTGAAAATCCTCATGCGCGCTTTTGTGTTTATCATATCCTCCAGCTGTAAGCCATGCATCTTGAACAATAGGATTATATTGATGCCATATTAGCAAATTAAAAATTTAAGAAATTGTTGATAGCAAAGTATTGCAGGTAACTAGGTAAGTGAAATTCCATCTATAATTGCTTCCGTAGATTCATGTTGGTAATTAATTATAGCAATCCTCAAAACACGAGTATCAGCCATGTGAGGTAGAGGAAGGGCCTCAAGTAAGAAGGGGCCAGAACAACAACAAGGCTCGTGCGATCCACACATGGGCAAGTGCATTAGTGATAAAGGTGGCACTGCAAGAACAGCTATGAATTTTGTTGTTTATAGCATCCAATCCCCTTTCACTCCTCAGGATATAGCGCCAAGGGGTGAGAGTGCACAAGGTTCACAAGGCTCTAATTCCACTTAAAACAAAGGAGATGTGTAGGGAAAATAATGAGCAACAAGATTAGAACAAGTGAAGAACAAATTATTTCCCAACAAGATTAGAACAAGAGAAGAACAAATTAGCTGACGGCTAAAGAGAGATAAACTCAAGATCTCAAATTTTATTCAATACTCAATCACTAATTCTCAGTTCTTCTCAATAAAAGAGACCATAACCCTTCATATAGACTTAGAATTTACAATAATTTCCCAATTATGCAATAATTTTTAAGGTAAGGAATCATGTGTAATTAACTCATTATATTTTCTCTCTCAATACCTTAATTTTCGTCCATCGCAACACTGTCCGCGGCTGCTCTAGGCAGAGCTTGCACTCAACCACACAGTCATGCGAACTCATGGGCTATGTCTACACGCATGTCAATCATGACACTATGCTCAGCCAAGCTTGCGCCCGTTCGCATGAATTCACATGATCTCATGCAAGCTCTAACTTCACTTCACTCGCACGTGACTCTAGCTACCTAAGCTGCATGACCTGCATGCAGTCGCCAGCTCCATCTTTGTTTCATAGTACCCTGGAGCTTCATCATATGCGCATTCGTTGTAAGATAGGGTTCTCTTTCGCTTCTCTCAAGATGCATTTTGGTGATGGGTCTCTCCTTGTGGGATTTCTTTGAAGCTAATGCCACATGGCATGGCTGTCTCATTCGCTTTCAGTCCTTCTGGCACCTAGGGCATCCCTTGTCATGTAATCATCTTTTGATTTTTCACCGATGATAGATTTTGGTCCTATTGTATTTGCTACCATGCTCGCTCACTTCCATCGGGCACAGATGGGAGAACTTTTGCAAAGCAAATTCTTCCCCTCCCACCGCCCCTCCCCCCCAAAAAAAAAAGTGAAGTTGCAACCTCTTCCTAGGTGGCCCCTGAATTTTGTGAAGCTCCTCTTGTATCTCTCTGGTGGTTTTTGCACCACCTACTCTTCATAACCTCTATGCTCATTTTCTAATGTTGTTCATGGTTTGTATGTTGCGAGCATTCACCCCTCAACATCCAACAACTTTTCACTTTTTTCACCAGGATTCAACAACACAACAACATAAATAGTATTAATCTCATTAAGGCAAGACTGCTCTCCTCTTTATCTTACTGTGCCACTCACTCACACAATTATTGGCAAATTTTCTATGGCCATCCCAATATGAAGGTAATTCACAAATTTATTTCTGATTTTTAACTTATTGGTGACTACTCCATTGGGCTCATCGAACCACGACATATTTTCTTTAGTAGCAGAATACATCAAATTCTCATGAGACTCATACAATATGAGTAGTCACGATGCACATGCTAAAATAATCCTCATATTTTGATTACTCTATTGAACCCCTATCACTCTTGTTTGGATCTCATTTCCACAAATTCCTTTGCATTACTTCAATTAGTCTACCATATTCTCCTTGGCTTCTATTTTTGGGAAACCTTTCCAAATGGACACCAGACCTTCGTGGCCAAAGTTGGGTGGAATTATCTCATTTTGATAAGTGCGGATTGGGTCCCCATCTTTTGGGTATTGGTAAATAATAAATTTTGAAAACAATTCACAATACTACTCCTATCATATGTGTGGACAAAAATTCTATGACTGTTTCAAGGCTTATGCTGAGCTAAGGAATTATAACTACTCATTAGAAGCTCATATTCTACCTCCTAAATAGTTGGTGGAAGATCCCCCTTATCAGTTCAGGTTTGTTCTTAAAACTTAAAAGCAAGTTTCAAACTCTCTTCTGGACATAGTAGCTAATATTCTGATAGGAAATACTTGAGTTCGCAAGTAACCCTAAGGTAATAATTGAGTTCGCAAGCAACCCTATAGTCAAAATCAGCCCAAAACAGTGAGCAAAACTGCTGTCCCAGCAGTTTTACAGCAGCTCCGCAGCAGGAAATGCACCCAAACAGAGAAAAATAAGAAAAAGAAACAAGGTTTCCACTAGTAGATGCAAGAAAACAAAGAAAGATACAACTTCCTTCGATTCGAGAGGAAGAACAACTCTCCACAAGTCTCTAGCAAACCCTAGAGCCCAAGCACACAATGAGATCTCAAACTTTTCATTCAAATTCAAGATGAGGACCTAATTCCCCCCTTTCCCCCTCTTTAACTCTCATCCCCATACAAAATCCCTAAACAGCCCTTCTATTCAAATTCCCCCCCTTTCCATTCAAATTTTCCCTCCAACCCTTGAATTAACTCCATGTGGGGCCCGCCTAGAGTAAGGACCGGAGGGGCCCGCCTAACAAATTGCTATTTAGTTATTTGTATTTTTAAAATCTTCAATTTGCCTTTTTCATTTTCTTCTTCTTCCAATCTTTTAGCCAAGGTAGCTAAAATATTTAATTTGACTTAATTGCTATTTAGTTAGAGGCTTTGTGACTGGCAGCACCGACACATCTCTTTGGACTGTTTACAACAGTGGCAGAAGGCATTATTGTGGGAATATTCTCCCTGATGGTGTGTCTAAGTTGCAAATCTTCTCTTTATGTTATGCTTAGGCTACATAAGTAAATCTATTACCTCTTATGCATTTCAGGTATGAAGAAAAATCAGAAGTTGCCTGCGAATATTCTCACACCTACAACCAAAGAAACAAATCATGATGTTCCGGTGTCTCCTGATGAGGTTTGTTGTGTTGACTGAAGCTTAATAAGTTGCAAGTTAAATAAGGATAAATTAGACCTCCGTCCTTGAGTACAGGGGGATTTCAAATTGGTATGCATTTTTTAGATTGTTTCACTTTGCTCTTTTTTTTTTGTCTTGCAAAGTGGTACCTTAAGTAAATCTATAGTCTTTACAAATATCCTTTCTAAGTTGAGAAAAAATATAATGTATCCTTTAACATCATTTCATGATGGTTAATGTGAAACATCTACAGTTACTTTTTGATCAAAGTTTTTATTTTGCTTTGTGTGCTTGTGTGTATAAGGGAGAGAGAGAGCGTGAACCCTTCTTTTT